CGGAAGTATGTAGTTTATACAATAAAAATACCCGTAGTATAATCCGATAAATATACACAAGTGTCATTTAAATGAATCCTCGCGAAAGTCTTATATCTCATTATATAACTGACAGTATTTCGTATTAAAACATAAATTCTACTAATGAAAAATCCGAGTACTTTTTCTATTTAGGTTAGGAGTCTACTCTACTTGTACAAACTTGTTCAACCACGCGGATGTAGAACATTTAGATTTTATGTACTATGAAATAAAAATGATTTTTTACCTCACTAACAGCATATTTTATGATAATAATTCAATTTATTCTTTACACATTTGTTAAAGGATAAAAATTTACTTTTTTTTGAATTGATTTATTTAATTAAAATTGTTTTTATAAATGAACGATTAATACGGAAGAATGTACTTAAGAAACACAATAAAACTTAACGTTTGTAATGTCTCAATTATATACGTACTATAACTATCTCGATGTAAATTTTTATTACACATTTTTTCATATTTATTTTCTTCGTGTGAACTATCATAAAGGATAAAAGTAAAACACTAATAAAATACATAAAGTATCTGAATAATCGCATCTCTCATTTATAGATTATAACAATATTATAGACAATTATTTCTTATAAATAATAGTAAGTTACTTAGCTAACAATCATTTTTATAGCGTTCCTATTATTAATTTTGGATCCCCGAAATTAATTTCAAAGCATTACATACATACTAAGTTAATTGCAAATTCATTTGACAGCATGAATTCAACATAATTAATTGATAAAGCAACACTCAATCAGTCCCACCTTTAAAAATAAATAATTAAAAATATAATATTAACAAACGTCAAATATTATAAGATGTAATATGTCAAATATATTTAGTTATTAACCAGACTTCAGAAGTCATTCGGCCGGGTATTAGCATATACGTACATATACACTTGAACTAGATTTACATGATGTTATAAATTCTAAATTACATCGTATCGGAATGTATCAGAAATTCAATTAAACTCACACAGTTGACCTTAATATTGTGACGTACGCAACCTCACTTTTTTTAATTTCATCAAGCAAAGATTCAAAAAGTTATGATTGAACATATTTTTGACACATGTCAAATTTATATTCAAACTTTAATACCATTTATCAAATTTTGATTCATTATGCAAATGCAAAATGCGTTTATAAATATATAATTATTTTTAATCATCCATAAAAATATATAAAAAATCAGACGAATTATTTATTGTAAGCATAACTAAAATTGAATTACTTCTCAAATATGCAGGAACAGTACGGCCAATTGATTTCTGTTTCGATAATTATTGCATGCAATTGGTGTTGTGAGAGGAAAAAAACATCAGTGCATGGCGAATAGCAGGCCCAGACAGCCGTATGGCGGCAATAAAACAAATCACATGGTGTAAAGTACAGTAAATATTTTCGGGGCGGCGTAGCGTGTCTTGTTCTCGTCGTGCAGTCAATTGTACCGCAGTATGTGGGACGGGCGGTCGCCTCTCGTACCCCGCCTTGCGCCCGCGCTTTGTTAAACCACAACAATGACGTTCACATCGATAACTAGTTGACATCCGAGTTATAAATCAACATGTGCTGTTCAGGATTCACTAATTATTTGTTCCATAAACTAAGGAAATACACATGTGGGCTGGCGAGCCGCGAAAGTGAGTAACCGATTCTTAATAATCATTATACGAGATTGTTTACTTGTATGTTATAACAGTTGTGTATTGTATCACAAATGTGGACCATCTATTTATAAATGGTATCTTCAGTGATGGAAGCATAACGTTTTGAGCTAATTTAGTTCGTTAAAAGCAATATGAATAAGATTTAATTCCTCCTGCTCTGTGAATGTTCTGTCAATGCGCATGACAAATACAACTTTCTAGAACTGTGACATAGAAATGTTGCGATACAACTTCATTCAAGCTCAGTAGGAAAAGCGTTTTTAGTGCATTCATTAAGATTAAAATGACTGCTGCTTGTGAACTAAACCCGTTGTTATTTAACAATCAGAGTATGTACAATATGTATGGAGCGTTGTCAACCGACAGTTAAAACTAAATGTGAAACAGATTACGTTCGAGTACATTTAAAACGGTTCGATTGTCTTTAACCCGAGCATGATATTATCCAGTTATCTATCTATTTATATCTTTTTATGAACGTAACCGAATTATTTTAACCTGAACATGTTTACATATGTTTAAATAGTACAATTATAACCCTTATAAAATGTTGATCAAACATTGTATAGTTTAACTTTTAAATATACATATATTTATATAAATTTTACATTAAATACAAATTTCGTTCTGATCACCAAATAGCAACGGTTATATCAAAGAGATAAAAAATTTATGTGATGCCAATTTTTATTTTCAATTAGACAAATAAGTCGGCCATGACACGACGGCCTAGCATTATCCTTTTGTCTCAATTGACCGGTAATTGTAGAAGTCACTTCTATTCTGAGATATAATTTACACTTGTCAAATTGCACCTTAACGGAAGTTGGGGATGATCGTATTGAGTAAGCACTATATAGCTTGTTACTACGCAGATAAGAATACAATGGCTTATTTAAATACTAATATCGGCGATAATTTTGGTATTATTTAATAATTTTCTAGAAATCACAGTTACGTAATTGCATGTGCACTTAATATGCTAAACGAAGCGATAACGTCACACCAATTAAAGAAAAAACCCCATAATATTGTTATTTATGTTTCTAAACTCATTTTAGCCAAACCTCCAGCTGGAAGCTAATGTTTATAACTTTAATGTAGAACTAATACTTGTGATTGTGTCGTGATATGGAGATCCTCTAGTCTCGTCTCTAGGATCTAACTGGCTGTAAATATAACTAATCACCACGGCTTCTTTAAAAGGAAAATATAAATTAAGAAACTCGACAAAAATGCCGAAAGGTAAGTAGAAGGTTTTTGATTAAGATTGACGAAACAATATACCCTTCTATATCAAAAATTTAGAAATACAATAGTTGAGTTTGCTTTAAACATGAAACGGATAAGGAAATATTACTGTAATGATGAAAATTCATATCGATACCGTTGGAATGTTTTCCTCTTGCAGTTAAAAAAGTTAATAGAAATTCTTTGAGGAAACCGATACTAATTGCAGAATTTATACGCTCAAAGATTTCAACGACGCATTATTGGAAATAAGGAAATGATAAGAGTTGCAATAATGTACTTTAAAAAGTAAACCTTCGACAGATTATATTTCTTTTTTTACAAACGACATATTAAAAAGATACCAACTTCTACCACACTCGTATCTTTTTAAATAAAAATAAAACAAGTAAGAAAATTTAAAACCTTCATAATCTTTACATTATAATTTGATATTAAAAAAGGTTTACTATACCGAATCCGTCATCAAACATAAATGTTATGTAGATGTCGAATTAAATAAATATACAAATCAGTTCATCCTAAACTTAAAAATGAACGTAAATGAACACGCAATGGTTATAAATAGAATAGATGTTTTATTTATTCTCACACCAAACGGATGGATTGTTTAAATTTGATCAAGTTTCAATCTATATCAAGCCGAGGAACATATTGTTTGTCGGATACATGGATACATGGATTGTCATTTGATTGCTGTTCTCTCATTACAGTTGACACCACTTGAATCAATGAAGCGACATTGGCTCATTGTTTAATCGCTTGTTTTATCAGCTGTAAGAAGCTCGAGTCTTGTGTACGGTTACACATAATTAAGCCACGTATCAAGAGATATTTGTTATTAATTTGCTATATTAAAAACTAATTATACCTATTAAATTAATTACAAAATATATAGGAATGTATTAATCAACGGACGATGTAATGTAATATTAATTAAAACATAACTCATAGAAAAGATTATCATGAATCAGACGACTTACATACATGTAAGGCAGACTCTGGCTAAAGCTGGGAGATTGTCAGGTAGAAGAAGACAGAGACATACATATGTATTATAAAATAATCTCGGAACAAATTGAGAACAATGTAAATGGTTTAACAAAACTGTCCTCATTGAGATATCAACAGGAAATGTTCAATATTAAACATTGTGCAGGCGCATTGGAAAGAACAATAACCATTTACCTTGATTGCCGAGCCTCAGGCCCAAGCCATTGTATGCCCACTGGCTACGTTTATTGATTTCGGTAACAACTTCTGATGTTGGCATAATTTTGCGAAACTTCTGTATTAGTATTAATTAAAAATAACTTTTAATTGACGTATTATATAATTGATGATTTGTATTTAATCGTTTTTGACTACAATATTATTCATTTATTCATGATTTCTATGTAATTGTATCTTGTATTACAATTGTATTGATTTCCGTTGAATTAATCAGGGACAATTTTTTATTATTTTTCCGGTTGAAATAAGAAAATAATCTTAAAAGTGTTCGTTTTAACGCTTAGAAATAAACATTTCGATGGTGAAATTTATTATGAATAACAAATTTAATAGATAAAGCAAAACTCATTTGATATGTAAAAATATAATTGCATACAAATGCAAATGGTTATAAAATTCATAACTTAAGAAAAATCTACATTGATAGTGCGCTGATTGTTTCAACATTTCTATTCATACATTCCCAGCGATACAAAAGATTTAGAAAACAATAGTTCTTTATGGCACTTAACTGAGGGTTAAAGCGTGTCTCACACAAACAAACGTCAATCATTATTATTGAACATTGACTTGGTTTTGTTTCGTCTAGACTCTAGAACATTTGTTACTAGGAAGATTATGATATTTTAATACAATTTGCTAACACTTAATATAACCTTAATAACTTTATGTAATGGGTATGTAAATGTGAGCTAAGTCATCCTAAACATGTGAGCTTATCGTCCTTTAAAAAAATATGTGTTCATTACCGGTTATCTTCGATATAGTTATAAGGAGTTTCTTTAATAAGAGCAATGTATTGCAGGCGACGCCGATATGTCGCTGAAGCAAGGCAGCGGCACCGGCAAAGTCCACTTCGGTGGTTTGGACGATGTGTCGTTGTACGGCACGCCAGTGGAACCAGCGCCCCCCGCGCCCGACGCCAAGCAAGGATTCCTACGGAACCAACTGCAAGCACTCTTCCAGCCCACAGACAACAAGCTAGCCATGAAACTCTTCGGATCAAAGAAGGCGCTGATGAAGGAACGCATCAGACAGAAAGCGGCCGGACACTGGGTTATACATCCGTGTAGTAGTTTTAGGTAAGTCTGATAGACAACGAAACAAGATATTTTTTGTAAACAAATCACTCAGTACACTCGGTTCCTATTCAAATCCTTTCTAGTAGTAAATTTGACATTCAAACAGACAGTCGCTAGTGAACTATCATCTAGAAAATACAAGTTTATATATATTTCTATTTCATGCAACAATATTATTATAATTTTATCAATACAAAGCATTATTTAAATGTTTCACAGCAAAGAAACCTCTCATATTTTATACTTTCACATTATAATTGATGTTACAAGAGACGTATGTAAAACAATTTAAATATAATTCCGTGCTACAGTTGACATAGTTTACAATTTACATCAAATGAAATGCTACCATTTCAAAGCATTAACGCGAGCTGTAAAGTTAGAATTGCATCCACAACTCTCCCAAGACATGTCCTTAAATAAAAGTTGAGTAAATTTTTATTAAAACTAAACTAACTAAAAGTAATGCTCTTTTCTTTATAACCATTTTTACCACAACTCCCATTTCTTCTATTATGGAGTTTTTATTTCAAGTCTGCGAACTATAAAAAATTTAATGCCGGTAAAAGCATTAATGAGATTTGTGAAGGTGAAGCCTTAATTAGTGTTCATCAAATATTCCCATTAATGAATACCTAATTGGATGTACCTGGATACTAAACGGATGTTTTAAATTAATGTTTAACCGGGACCCGGCTATATTTACGCTATCCCTACTAATATTATAAATGCGAAAGTAACTCTGTCTGTCTGTTACGCTTTCACGCCTAAACCACTGAACTGATTTTAATGGAATTTGGTACAGAGATAGAGTTGACCTTGAGAAAGAATATAGGATAGTTTTTATCACAGACTTTTGAAAGGTTTTCTTGGAAACGCGATATAACCGAACTCCACGCGGGCGAAGCTGCAGGCGGAAAGCTAGTTTATACATATATATTATATATTTAAACATTTCGTTCTCAATAAAACAAGACTGGGAAATGACTTGAAAATCGCAAAAGAATTATGTCAGCAGATATTAAAATATAAGTGAAACATTTCAAGTATTTGTGTTCAACAAAATGTTTTATATTTTTATGTTAAGTGGGTACCTAATTAATATAACGTTTTAATTAAATTAATTAGTGCAGTTTCACGGCCTATGACGGCCTATGGAGAACGGCATTCGCATTTTTATTCAATTTTAAAGTCTAACTATACATACAAATAAAACGACTGAGAAAATAATTTACAATAATTATAATCTCTTTCATCCATGGCGGCAAAAAGACGACAGCTTTAAAATACAGACTATATAACTTCCTTGTTATTTACGTCATTCGGAAGTAAGTTGAAATTTGTGAAATAAAAAATACTTTTTGTTGCATTACACCAGTCGATCGTGCGATCAATGCCGCGACAGTTTCGCTGATATTAAAAAAAAAAGTAATAACTCGCTATCCGGTTTGTAAAGTTCAAGACGATGCTATATTTGGTACTTTTAGTCTGTTTTCGATTGCAATTATTTGTGCAATATGATATCATTGTATAAATATGTATAATCTCTATAAAATTTCCTTCTATTATACCTAATAAATTACTTATTCAAATTACTTTTTACTTGTTTTAAGGTAGAATTTTCTTATGGCAACACATAATTTTCTAGCAAATTCGATTAACCTTAGCGATATATCAGTATATGATATCTTATTAACAGAGATTATTACATAAAACCGGTTCAGTAATATCAAAATATATTTTTAATTTATATAAATAATAATATATATACATTTAAATTATATTATAACATATAGTTTCTGATATCTACAGACAGCTTCCGCTCTGTAAACTAGTCTGATTAAGTACAGATGTTAATCGATTATCAGCCATTAGCTATTTATAGACAGACCCAGTTTCACTTACTGATAAATAAAATCAATGGAAATATAATGCAAAAATATTTAAATCTTATTACATAGTTTTTTATATGAGTAATCTTGTATTATAATTTATTTAAATTAATTATTTTATAACAAAAAGTTTAGTTAATACTGTGGCTGTATTTGATGGACAACAGGCTTGTAAATTAAAAAAAAAAGTTCAGTAAACATTAGTTGTCATTTCATATTGCATAACAATAAGTATGTTAAAATATACTCATCTGATTATTACATGATGAAATATCCGATTTTCATTCTAATGTATATAAATTGTTTAACAATAAACACAAATCACAAATAAAAGAATAGTAAATCTTTTAAACTGGTACGAGTAACACGTAAAATCAACAGCACGTATTTCGAAGTAAAGTTTTAAATAAAACTTAAATACACTAAACTGGAACGCGTTCAAGAAAATATATTAGTAACTATAGAAGAACATTGCTTACAGTACCATAGATTTCCTTGTATATCCTTGTAATAGTAATATTTTACGTGTTAACACTTGTTAAAACTGTTAATCTTTAATAAAAACATTTATAAACAGTTATCATGACTCTTAGATGTTAAATATATGGATAAAAATGACATAATAGATCAAAATGTATCAAAACATTTATTTAATTTATCACAAAGCCTTTTTCGAGAAGATAATCTACTATAAAATTATTTATGCGTACAATTATCCTTTAATTTCAATACTTATTAAACAGTCATGTTTTGTATAGACAACTTATTCTTGAAATTGATTAATCTTAAAAAAATATTACTTGTATATTATATATTGACATTTCCTAATAAAGTTACATCAGCTAAGTGGATTAGAAATATCTTGAGTGTATTGAATAATCTTTTTCTTTTTTTAACTAGCCTTATATTTACTCTGTGGTCGTGTACACTAAATAAACCTCCATGTTAAAAAAAAACTTCTATCCTTTGACCTTTGACAGTTTTTGAAATTAAAAAGCTAAGTACTCGGATAATGTCACTAATATTATAAAATATTACAAAATATATAAATTACATCACATTTTAATTAATATTCATAATTTTATCAACGTTATTTCCTTCTAACAATAACATGAGGAAATATAAGTGACAATAATTATAAATACGAATGACGAATCCATATTTGAGGTTAAATAAAAAGGTTTCATTGCTGTACACAGATTATATATTTAATTGAAGCTTGTTCCACAGATAATATAAGTGTTGAGATATATTTAGTAACAACGGTATATAGTTATTAATCAATCCGTTTCAACCTTCACAATAGTAAGGAAGCGTTTAAAATGAATTGGTTCAGGGTCAGAGGGCTACCTGGTTGCGACTGGTTATGACTTGAGTTAGATGGCCCGGATCCTTCTCTTGAGATAACAGATTATATATATAATTACTAGAAATACGACTAATATGACCAAGATGACCAAGATTTGAAATATCATGGATATTATACAACATAGTCTGAGTACTTGAAAGTTTACGTACATATAACTTTACCTTTCCTTAGTTTGAATACGAATTTGCTTGTTATGTCCTTACTATGTAATATTATAAATGCGAAAGTAACTCTGTCTGTCTGTTACGCTTTCACGCCTAAACCACTGAATTGTTTTCAATGAAAATTGGTACAGAGATAGAGTTGACCTTGAGAAAGAACATAGGATAGTTTTTATCCCAGACATTTGAAAGGTTCTCTTGGAAACGCGATATAACCGAACTCCACGCGGGCGAAGCTGCGGGCGGAAAGCTAGTATACAAATAAACATGAATAAACTTTCTTTAAGCTTAATCATAATAAAGAAACAATGAATAACAATAATCATATAATCTCAATACTGTTTTAATCAATACAATCGTTTTTAAAATACAAACGAGTATACATCGTTATACAAATTACATTGATATTTTTCGCTCAATAAACGTAGCAACACGGAATCCATTGATTATTCATCGGTGCTGTTTAACGACACAGAAAACGTGGACATTGAGCGTAAAATTTGATATTCATGTTTTATTTTTAACAACGGAATGGCAACGTTGATATAGATTTAACCGATTTCGCAATATGTGACCGATTTTGTGTATTGTAAATGTTGTAAAAGTAACTAATAAGTTATTACATGAACAATTAATAAAATGCACGTAGTGTAATCCGAAAAATATAAGTTTCATTTAAATGAATACTCGCGAAAGTCTTATATCGATTAATATTTTATAAACACTTAGTTTTCTCGATTCATCATAATCGAGATATCGATTTTATTGAAAGATAAAGCTTTATCTTATACTTCTATTCCTTTAATATTAATAATAATTTTTAACTTTTTTTAAAAATCTCACTTAATAAAAAGTTTTAACATGTTTATACTATTAAAATAACACATATATATTTTAATTAAATAGAAAGTCTAAGGACATGTTCTCTTCATAAATTCGATTTTTTTTTGTCATGCAATAGTGTTGTTATAGAAAAAATATTGTTCAAAAAGGTTTACATATATGAATTATTATAAAAACGCTATAAAACGTAATTCTTTTCTTAATGATTTAATTACACTTAGTTATTACACAATGAATGAATCATTGTTACTGTTTGTTAATGAATAAAAACTAAGTATATTCTTAATATCAAACAAAAGTAACTAAAGTGTGATTTATTATTATTGAACAAATCTTAAAATAATTTTAAAATGAAGAATGTTTGAAACTTTACACAAACGTAGTTAAAACAAAACAAAAAAAGTTAATTACGCACTTGAGGTTATAGGTGATGTGTATCGGTAGCCTGAGTTCTTTCATTTTTGACTTCAATACCTTCATTCGAGAATACTGAGAATGGAAATACTCCATGACAATATACCTCTAATCAAAAAAATTTATTTGAAAATAGTCCTTTTTTTGAAATCCTCCTATTTGAAGTCGGTTGAGAAGAACCCTTAGTTACATCTTATTTCGTGAAATTCCCGTCAAAATCGGTTCAGCTGTTCTAAGGTTAGCCAGAACAAACAGACAGACAGACAAAAAAAATATGTAGGTATCGTATATGTATAGTATATACTTTCGTGTGCATTTAGT